TGATTATGGTCAAAATTCATAGAATGCTATGCCTAAAAAAGAATGAATTGTACTGCTTGTAAATTATATCTCAATAAACCCTAAAAATAATAAATAAATAAATAGAAATGAATAAGAGGCCGAAGTTCTTAACACAGCCTGCGAGACTTTGTCCCACTCTGGGTTGGCCTTTCAGCCTCGTCTCTTCCGTGACCTTCCTCTTGCTTCCTGATCACATCAGCCTTCTTTCAGTCCCTCTGCTCACCACTTTTTCTCATTTCCTATAATCTTTGCACATCCAGTTCCATCTACCAAGAAAGCTCTTCCCTCTGCATCTTCTTCTTAGTAATTGTCACAGTGGTGATTTTACATTGTTGTTGTTGTTACTATTCTGTGTCTCCTCCACTAAAATGGAAGCTCCTTGAGGTCAGGGTCTGTCTTTGTTCATCACTGTATCTCCAGCCCCCCCGCACTGTGCTGGTACAAGGACCTGTACAATGAATACTCAACTACTACGTTCAACTGCCTTCTCTATGTCTCAGTCTTAACACATCCCAAACTGAAATGCTTCTTATCCCCCAAAAGACTGCTCCGCAGGCAGAGCTGCTTCGTTGCACAGTTCAAGCAGTGCCAGCCACAGAGCGTCCATGGGAATGGCGCCGTGCTTCCCCCAAGCTGTGCCCTTCACGTGGACTCTCCACATGGATGCAGTGCTCCGAGCATTATTCTTCTCCACTGCAGTTGATGGCAACTCTATCCTCCCAGTTGCTCAGGCCAAACATTTTAGAAGCATCTTTGATTCCTCTTTCGCTCTCACACCTCACAGTCACTCTATCAGGAAATTTTACTGGCTCTACCTTTGAAATATATCAGCTCCTCTCACATTCCCAACCACTCCCACTCCAGCCTGAACCACTATCACTACCGCAGTAGACCTCTTTGGTCTCCCTGCTGCTGCTCTTGTCCACTACAGTCTATTCTCAACCCAGGAGCCAAGAGTCCTTTAAAACATAAACCAGACCATGTCATTTCTCTTTTCAAAGCCCTATAGTAACTCTCTATTTCCCCTCAGAATAAAAGCCAAAGTCTACAATGAACTTTAAGGCCCCACAGGCCTCCCAAATAGTTATACGACTACACCTCTTACCTCCCTCAAGTCTGTTCAAATGTTACCTTCTTAAAATAAAGCCTAGGGCTTCCCTAGGGTTTCCCTAGGGCTTCCCTGGTGGTGCAGTGGTTAAGAATCTGCCTGCCAATGCAGGGGACACAGTTTCGAGCCCTAGTCCGGGAAGATCCCACATGCTGCAGAGCAACTAAGCCCGTGCGCCACAACTACTGAGCCTGTGCTCTAGAGCCCACAAGCCACAACTACTGAAGCAGGCACACCACAACGAAGAGTAGCCCCTGCTCTCTGCAACTAGAGAAAGACTGCGTGCAGCAACGAAGGCCCAACACAGCCACAAATAAATAAGTTAAAAAAATAAATTTTAAAAAAAATGAAGCCTACTTTGACCACATTCTGTTTACTTAACTTGCCACTCTCCAAACCCACTTACCGTGCTATTTTCTTCTATTTCCACTCTTGTCACCATCTAACTTATTTATCTATGATCATCATTGTTTATGGTCTGTCCTCCTTCTGTTAGGAAATAAGCTCCACAAGAACAGAATTTGTTAACTGAAACCTCCTCATGCATCTAGAGCAATGTTTGGCATATTGTAGGTTCAACAGTGAATAAATAACTACAGTGTCTGCTAAGTAATTAGAGGTTAATAAATATTAGTACAGGAACAAGTGTGACACATACAAAATGATAAAACTTTTTCTCTCCATAACTCATATTTCTTTGTTAATATACATGTATGTGGAACTGTGCAGCAGGGTGAAAACTGCACAAGATTTGCAGTCAAGGCTTGGGTGATTCCTGGCCTCTCACCACTTCCTACCTGTATAACTACAAAAGATTCCCGTATAGGGATAAAACACGTGCCCTGTTAACCTCCCAGGGCTGTTGGGAAGAGAAAATGAATGTGAATGCTTTTGCAAGCTGTGATAAGCTCTACAGTTACTTAGGTAAAGCAAGATTTGAAACTTTCAATCACATCAATTGCCATCGTGCTGTTTACCTCCAAGGAGAGTTCTATGCCCTCTGTACTGCCAGTCCGATTGTAACCTTTACTTTCTCCCAGTGCTGACAGTGAGGAATCTCTGAGCTGCCTTATCCTGTTCAGGTTAGTTACCCTCTCCTTTCCTTCCATTTTAGGAAGATGGACAGCAGGTGTTGTGTTCCCTGCTCCATAATCTCTGCTGACTCAGGCTGCTTCTTCCCATCCCTAGGGAGGATAAAAGAGGAGCAGTAACAACACATGTAGAGCCACTGGCATAGCTTTACAGAGCTTAGGTGGAGAGGATGGTGTCTCTTCTGAAGAGACAAAGATTAAGCCTCTTCTCCCACAGTGTGGAACCTTGTGCAAACAGTTCAGAAGACCTGGCTTCCCACTGCCCTGAAGCCTCTCCAACTGAGAGACCAGAGGGAAGTCTCTTCAATCCTACCCAGAAAAGGACATCAGCATAGTTATCGCAGGGCCCTTTGGACTTTACAAGAGTTAATGGAGGGTCAGAAGTAGAAGGAAGCCCAGGGACACTGAGCTTTATTGAGGCTTTGGGTGTATTTAAGAGTGAAAAAAAATAAATGTGCCAAAACAGGCCTCAGAAATTGCCATTTTTTTAAACTCAAGATGGATTAAAGACCTAAACGTAAGACCAGACACTATAGAACTCTTAGAGGAAAACACAGGCAGAACACTCTATGACATAAATCACAACAAGATCCTTTTTGACCCATCTCCTAGAGAAATGGAAATAAAAACAAAAATAAACAAATGGGACCTAATGAAACTTAAAAGCTTTTGCACAGCAAAGGAAACCATAAACAATATGAAAAGACAACCCTCAGAATAGGAGAAAATATTTGCAAACAAAGCAACGGACAAAGGATTAATCTCCAAAATATACAAGCAGCTCATGCAGCTCAATACAAAAAAACAAACAACCCAATCCAAAAGTGGGCAGAGGACCTAAATAGACATTTCTCCAAAGAAGATATACAGATTGCCAGCAAACACATGAAAGGATGCTCAACATCACTAATCATTAGAGAAATGCAAATCAAAACTACAATGAGGTATCACCTCACACCAGTCAGAATGTCCATCATCAAAAAATCTACAAACAATAAATGCTGGAGAGGGCGTGGAGAAAAGAGAACACTCTTGCACTGTTGGTGGGAATGTAAATTGATACAGCCACTATGGAGAACAGTATGGAGGTTCCTTAAAAAACTACAAATAGAACTACCATACGAGCCAGCAATCCCAATAGTGGGCATATACCCTGAGAAAACCATAATTCAAAAAGAGTCATGAAAAAAAAAAGAGTCATGTACCACAATGTTCATCGCAGCTCTATTTACAATAGCCAGGACATGGAAGCAACCTAAGTGTCCATCGACAGATGAATGGATAAAGAAGATGTGGCACATATATACAATGGAATATTACTCAGCCATAAAAAGAAATGAAACTGAGTTATTTGTAGTGAGGTGGATGGACCTGGAGACTGTCATACAGAGTGAAGTAAGTCAGAAAGAGAAAAACAAATACCGTATGCTAACACGTATATATGGAATCTAAAAAAAAAAAAAGAACCTAGGGGCAGGATGGGAATAAAGACACAGACATAGAGAAGAGACTTGAGGATATGGGGAGGGGGAAGGGTAAGCTGGGATGAAGTGAGAGGGTGGCATGGACATATATACACTACCAAATGTAAAACAGATAGCTAGTGGAAAACAACCACATAGCACAGGGAGATCAGCTCAGTGCTTTGGTGCTTTGTGACCACCTAGAGGGGTGGGATAGGGAAGGTGGGAGGGAGATGCAAGAGGGAGGAGATATGGTGATATATGTATATGTATATGTATAGCTGATTCACTTTGTTATACAGCAGAAACTAACACACCGTTGTAAAGCAATTATACTCCAATAAAGATGTTATAAAAAAAAAGAAATTGCCATTTTTTAATGTCTGCGTTTAAATCCAAAATCACTTTCATCAGATGGAAAACACCATGTAACCTATGATCTATAAAAATACTAATTCCTAGTACAAGGAATGGATTTCTTAAGACATGTAAGTTTAAGTTCTATAATAAAGACATTTAATCATGTCAGTTTGTGACTCTATAAATTCACTTATTTAGAGTTAACCTTAGAAGTTTGCAAGTGAGGCCCTCTTGGTCCCGCTGGGAACAGGCTTGATCCTGTTTATGAAAAGGCTCAGGATAATATAAATTATTATATTAATGTACTTTCCTAACCCTATGTTTAATCAATGGCACATCCTTGTTTTGAATTATTTAAATGTATTATTATTTAACCATTTAAGTGTTTGTCATTTCCGAGTAAACTGTAGACGCCTCAGGAAAAAGACCTAAATACAGGAAAAATCAGCTAATAAAATTTCATTTGGCCTGCGTGAGCCCTTTTGTGTCTGAAAAGCTTACAAATAGTTTGAAGAGGCACTAGACTGTGGGGCAACTCCGACTGCCCCGACATCTGGCAACCATATGATACCCTTGAACTTTGACTAAAGAAAAAATATATAAATTTGTGAAGGTAAAACTCTGCTTCCTAACACAACATTCTAAATCAACCATACTCTAATTAAATTAAAATTAAAAAAAAAAAACCCTGTGTCAACTCGGTATTCTTGGTCACTTAAAACAAAAATCTCCCGCCAGAAACCTAAATCATCTGGAAAGCATGAAAAGTCCTGGCAAACTATGTTCAACAGTTCACCATCACTAAAACTGGAAGCGCATTTTGTTTCATTTATTCTAAACCATTTACTATTTTCAGGGACGAAAAGAGTCCAAGGCGCCCAGAATGGATAATGTGAGGAGCAACAGGCTATTTTCACACTCGCAGGTGAGTGGTAGGAGAGGAAAAGCTCTCCTTACCTTGAAGTAGTACTTGAGAGAAAAGAAACGAACAGCTCCTCGTTAGTATAGTGGTTAGTATCCCCGCCTGTCACGCGGGAGACCGGGGTTCAATTCCCCGACGGGGAGAACATATTACTTTTACTAACCACTACTACTATTTTCTGCGTAATTCAACTGCCCAGCATGGCTGACAAACACAACATGCGGATATTTTTTATAAGCGCGTCTTTTCAAAGTGGTAACTTTTAAGCTTAATGCTCACCGTGAGATAAAAGCCAACTCCGAGAGTAAACGCTTTACACTGTTGTCAGAAGGGTTAAGAAAGACGAAAACGTTCGTTAAAAACCCACAGCGCGCACCCAGCCGGTAGCTGACGCTAGCTGGCAAAGGCCTACGCATGCGCAGTAGCGCCCCCGCCAAATTCCAAACGGAGGTCACGAACTCAGCTCACTGAACGGGGAGGGGGTGGGGAAGATGAGGGCCGAGTCTCCGCCCCTAGCCGGGCAGGTTAGAACGGAAATCGCTTGCAGAAGAAGGGGAAGGACCGGTGTCCTTTGACCCTGGAGACTCGACTAAAAGGGAAACTCCATTCTCCCGCCTCTGCTAGTTCCATCCTTGCCTAGGTAGAGGGACAGCTGTGAGGAAAATCTTGGCACTAAAAGAATCAGTCTCCAGTTCGACCTAAACTGGATGGAGGGGCAGGGAGAGAATGGAAGACAAGGCGAGGCGTGCCCGGAAGAGACGCCATGTTACCGGAGTTCTAAGAAATTGCGTGAGCTACAGCCCAGCAGGACCTCGTGGCGCAACGGTAGCGCGTCTGACTCCAGATCAGAAGGCTGCGTGTTCGAATCACGTCGGGGTCATGGTTTTTATTTTTAGGCCCACTGGTTTCTATAAAGCTAGATGTGTTCCCGCCATTTTTTGAAAATGCCTCTGATTTTAGGATTAAATCTTCCTCATTCAAATGTTATCCCAGTAATCTTTAGTCTGCAAAAAGACAAGAATCACTATATATCGTGAAACGTTAAGGCTGGGTTTTGTTTTTTTTTTTACTGTTTGGCCTTGTGAGTTCTCTGTCATTCAAAGTGCGTAATGCATAGAGATGTGGGCTATTACTGTCGTGCATTCGTGGGCATATCAGCCCATGGTGGTCCTTAACAGGAAACATACGATACATATACCGTACAAGCTGTTTTTCCAAAAACAATTTTAGACCCGTTTGCCTTCGGAAAGCAAGTCCAACAGGGTACAGTTTCTAACTTTGTGTAATAGTTTACATGCTTTAGCCCATGTGCCAGGCACTGTAGACAACCCTGCAATGTGTGCACATTGTACACGCTTACGGATGAAACTGTGGCACACAGAAGAATAGCTACCCACCCGAGACTCTGAACCGCGTGACTGACCCCAGATCCCACTCTTTACTAAATGTTTTATAATAAAGGTGGAAACTGTTGAAAAAACTTGCTAGAATCCATTGGACCTAAGTGATACCAATGCATCTTTTATATTTTCACCAATTAATGCGAGTGGTGACAAATCAGGTACCACTTTCAACTATTAATCTCTCATAGCAGGGAGCAAAGTTTACTCATTCACCTTTGTAAGCTCCAGTACTCTTAGTAGTGAATAGTGCCGTAACAGGCATGTGTCAAATGTCTGTTGTACAAAAAATGAATAGCAAGACTAGGAGAAATTAATTTTTTTTATTATTGGATATGTTCTGTGGAAGTCACCAAGTTTTCCTGCTCAGTATTTTGAAAATAGCAAATATTAATTTCTTATGTTTCAACCTAATATAGTATTGGAAATAGTGTTTTTATTCTGTGTAGTTTGTTCTTCCCTTTCTTTTTTGGTGGTCACTCATTTCAACAGATATTTATGGACCACTGATACTGTGATAAGCACTGAGGAAAAGGATACAGAGTGAAAGTGGGGTTTTTTTTGAGCAGCAGGAAAAAGATACATTAAGTAACCAAACACCGTAATATGTTGGGGTGAGTGCCATGAGAGTAGCATGAACAGAGTGGTGTGAGGGTGCTTAAAATAGGGACATTAACTCCGCTTTGGGTAGTTCAAAAAGTCCTCATAAAGGAAGATCTTGAAAAATAATGAAAGTTTCTTTGTGACTTTAAGGCATTTATTCATCCAATGGACATACATAAATGCCTTCTATGAGTCAAGGTCACCCTGTGATCTGACTTCTTCAACTATAAAAGTAGAGGTTTATATGTATTACCTTGCTAGGGCCGCCATAGCAAAATACCACAGACTGGGTAGCTTAAACAACAGAAATTTTCTGACCGTTCTGAAGGCTAGAAGTCCAAGATCAAGGTGACAGCATGGTTGGTTTCTTCTAAGGCCTGTCCTTGCCTCATAGATGGCCACCTTGTTGTGTTCTCCCATGGTCTTTCCAATGTACGCACACTTCCCTAGTGTCTCTCTGTGTGTCCAAGTTTCCTCTTACAAGGACACCAGTCAGATCGTATTAGGACCCATTCTAATGGCTTCATTTTAGCTTAATCACCTCTTAAAAGGCCTCATCTCCAAATACAGCCACATTTTGAGGTAGCAGGGGAGTAAAGCAATATATATATGTCATTATTAATAGTGCTATAGCTCTAAAATTGTCACTTCACAGGTTCCAGCTTCTTTCCCAAGGCTGGACATTTGTAGTTTCTCAGAATGACCCATTTGCTAACTTGCTGTAACTTTGAAATGACCCAAAATCCAACACTTCATTTTAACTTAAACCTCTACAATCATTGTATAGTAATGATATAAGGAAAGAGGCTCTGGAATACACAAATTCATATTTGAATTCCCAAATCCTGACACTTAATAGCTCTGTGATTTTGTTCTATTTCACTAAAAAGTTTCCAGTGTATCTTTTATTCATACAAGTGGATTTATCCACTAGTACAGAAGCACTGAGCATTTATCTCACCTATTTAATAAGCTTTCTCTTTTGAATTATTTTTAATCATTTACCTAAGACTGATGTACTCTGGATAAACTGATAAAATGGAGACTTTGGAAATGAAAACCGAAAAACAGATTCTGAATTCTGATAAGCCAAGTGATTCCCCAGTTTCTCACACTAATTCAAAGTAGTTATGATTATAAAATCGTATGTGTTCATTGTAGAAATCTTGGGAAATACAGAAAAACATAGGGAAGAAAAGAAAAAACACCTGTCCCCATCACCTAGAGGAAACTACTACAAACATTCTGGTCTATATTCATGTAGTCCATTTAAATATACACATATCCATACACATTTCAGTTCTTTATAGAACTGAGATCTTACTCTAACATGGGTCTCTTTTTCTATTTGTATTTTACTTACTGCTGTGTTGTAAACATTCTCTCATATTCTTAAATAAATGTCAAGAACATGATTTTCATGACCATGTAGTATTTCATCAACTGCTGTTTGAGGTGACATCCTTAAATCCACAACGAAGTCCTATACAAAACAGGATATGAAAAATAAAAAAGTCACCTGTATGTTAATAACATTAAGAACTCCAAAAAGGGAAATGAAGGCAGTTATCAAATGTTTTAGGAAAAAAAAAAAAGTTTTGGAAGAGTTTTCTGACAAAGTAATAGCATCATTAAAAAAAAAAAAATCTGTGGTTTCACATAGAAATATCCTTCCACTGTTTCCCAAAGTTTTGGGTACCAGAGCTGTAACATTTTTTTTTTTTTTTTTTTTTTAGGCACGCGGGCCTCTCACTGCTGTGGCCTCTCCCGTTGCGGAGCACAGGCTCCAGACACGCAGGCTCAGCGGCCATGGCTCGCGGGCCCAGCCGCTCCGCAGCATGCGGGATCTTCCCGGACCGGGGCACGAACCTGTGTTCCCTGCATTGGCAGGCGGACTCTCAACCACTGCGCCACCAGGGAAGCCCCCAAGCTGTAACATTTTAAAGATTTTTTAAAAAAAATCTCTAATACCTATTTCAACATCAAAGATAATTAAAATGTTATATTGGATGACTGTAACACAAAATAAAACATCGTCTTTTTTTTTTAATTCAGAAATTTCACAGGAGATGACTGAAAGAATCAAGTCCTTGAGGACAGAAGGGTGAGATCCAGAGTACAACTGGTGGAATTCACTCTGATAGAAGGACACCACTTCAATTTAAGCAAGAAAGATGCAAGAGAAAATGAGTGCAGATTTGACCGTCTGAAGTTGAGGCATTCCTACAGATGGTTTCTATTTTCTCAAGTATGAAGCAAGGTTACCAGCTGAAAATGGGGAGAGGTACGGGGAAGGGATGTGAGCAATTTGAGAAGTGAAGATATGAATGGTTAATCCAGAGAATGAAGAGCTTTGTCAGCCAGTGTCGAGTGCTCCTGTGAGGTCTGAGGTCATGAATTAAAACCAGTTGTTGTATGATTTTTCTCCAGCAATCTTTGCTACTTGGGCACAAGCAGTGAGAAAGTTTGTTCCAGCAAGGTTCAGTCCCAGCAAGGTTGAGACTCTTCCAAGCAAGAAAGATAGAGACATTGGAGTAAGAGAGTTGAAAATATTTGCAAAAGAGTGATTATATGGATTGATCAGGGAATCTACTTCAGTTGAGTTGGAATGATTATATGATGGCAGGAGCAGGATAATAGGTTTTTCTTTAAAGTGTTGGGGTTAATGAATTGCTGGTCAGTGAGAATATGATAAATGAGCTGAGGAAAAGAGGCTAGTGATTGACAATTGGGATGCTTGAATTTGAGATTTAGAAGGTAAAACAGCTATTGATGACAGGGTTCAGAGTCTTACCACTGGAGTGGATGGATGAGATGGAATAGAGGAACAAGTTATTGGAGATGAAGAGGTCAAAGACGTAAGAGGCCCAATGTCAGTGTTACATGGGCCGTCTGTTAGAATGTTGAATTCACAAAGAACGTAGACAAAAGGGATGGTGAGGAAAACTTAGAGCATGGAGCAATGGTCTAATTTCTGAGGGAGATTGGCCAAGGGTTGAGAAATTATAGCAGTAAAGAGGATGAGGTGTGATTTATGATGATATGAACTTCCAACGTTTTTGAAGGAGGAAAGAGGAGAAATCGTTTGGAAGTGGTAACCAGGAACAAAGAGGCCACCCAAACTCTGTAGCCCAACCTCTCGGCCTTAAGGTACATAAGAGTATGAAAAAAAAAAAAAAAACCCTCTACTTCGGAGCTCTACAGCAGAGTTAAAATCAAAATTACCTTCATCACTAAAAATAGTGGTGCTGGGGATATACCTGGATGCATCTAGGATAATTCCAAGTCTGAATTTGGTAACTCATGGCTTTGTGGATGATGTAGAAAGTCAATCTCACTGTCTGATAGCTACGACATCAACCATGTCTCCTGAGAAATGTAGAATCTGCAAGTAACCTCCTTTTGATAGTGTCCAGGGATAAGAAAAGGAGACAGAATTAATGAGAGGGAATGAGAATGTTTTTACTCAGGGAACATTGATTTCAGGCATCTAGAATGCAGTTCTTTGTGAATTATGTTATCTTTAATGTTGGCCTGTAGCGTACAGTACTGTGTATATTTAAAAGAACTTTCAGAAGACATACAGATGGCCAACACACACTGAAAAGGTGCTCAACATCACTAATCATTAGGGAAATGCAAATCGAAACCACAGCAAGATACCATCTCACACCTGTCAAAAGGGCTATTATCAAAAAGACAAGTATTGGCAAGGATGTGGAGAAAAGGGAATTCTGGTACACTATTTATGAGAATGTAAATTGGTACAGCCACTATGGAAAACAGTATGAAGTTTCCTCAAAAAATTAAAAATAGGAGTACCATATGATCTAGCAATTCCACTTCTAGGTATTTATATGAAGAAAACAAAAATACTAATTCAAAAAGATATATGTACCCCTATGTTTATTGCAGCATCGTTTACAACATCGAAGATATGGAAGCAAACTAAGTGTCCCTCCATAGGTGAATGGATAAAGAAAATGTGATATACATTGATAGACATAGACACACACACACACACACACACACACACACACACACACACTGGAATATTACTCAGCCATAAAAAAATAAAATCTTGCCATTTGCAGCAACATGGATGTACCTGAGGGGTATTAGGCTAAGTGAAATAAGTCAGACAGAGAAAAATACTGTATGATTTCACTTATACGTGGAATCTGAAAAACAAAACAAATGGACAAACAAAACAGAAACAGACTCTCAGATACAGTGAACAAACTGGTGGTTGCCATAGAGGAAGGGGATTATGAGGTACAAACTTCCAATTATAAGATAAATAAGTCATGGGAGGGCTTCCCTGGTGGCGCAGTGGTTGCGAGTCTGCCTGCCAATGCAGGGGACACGGGTTCGTGCCCCGGTCCGGGAAAATCCCACATACAGCGGAGCGGCTGGGCCCGTGAGCCATGGCCGCCGAGCCTGCGCGTCTGGAGCCTGTGCTCCGCAACGGGAGAAGCCACCATAGTGAGAGGCACACATACCACAAAAAACAAAACAAAACAAAAAAACGATAAATAAATCATGGGAATGTAATGTACACATAAGGGAATGGTCAAAAATATTTTAACAACTTTGTATGGTGATCATTTCATAAAGCATAAAAATATAGAATCACTGTTGTACACTTGAAACTAATATTGTATTGATGTGTTTATTATAACTCAATCAGAAATAAAAATAAAATATAACAACTTTCAGACTCAACAGGTGATTTTTTTTTTTTTTTTTGCTTGTGGTAAAAGGTAGGATTAAACTGCCTGGAAAATTTCTGGTACAATGGCCCTATGAAAAAAGCAGAGTTCCAGTGCAGCACCCTCAGATGTCCCTCCAGGTGGCTCTGTGATTCCAGCATTGTACTCTACTGGCATCAAATTTACGTAGATTATTATTTTCAAAGTGTCAGTGATGCCTCCTCCTCCTCTGAAGATCCACTTCAGGAACCTAGCTGCCCAGGTATCCTCAGACCATAGGGCAGCTATCAGAGGCTGGAGATCCTTCTATGTACTCCACCCTCATCAGATCAAATACTATAAGCCCTGGTAACTCTGACCCTTTTCAGTTAGAGCGGCAAAACCTACCTCTTAAAAACTGTTAGTACAGTCAAGTCAACCCCTTCAACTAGCAAGGTAACGATTTAACAGGATAACTTGCTAATTCAAATAGGATAGAATAAACCCATTAACTGTGGCCTTGCAGATATTCTGCTCAGGACTTTTGCCTTGCGCGTAATTTGAGACTATACTGTAAGAAATAACTTAACTGTGCCAGGCACACTGCCTGGGACCATCCCACACTCACTGACTACATTTATGGGGTTACCAGTCACTGCGAAATTATGGTCGTTCGCCTGTCAGCTCAGTTCACCGTCTGAAGATGAAACCGTTGCCTCTGTACCTAGTGAAGCTGGGGGTGGATAGGTAATGGTTAAGGTAACTCTTACACAGCAACCTAAAGACCTACGAAACAACTGGCTAATTAAAATACAATTTTTATTTTGCATTTCTGGTCTGAATATTATTGCTCAAATATATGTAAATACTGATATTTTTAGAAAATAATTAGTAAAATTGCCTCTAGGAAAATAGACTATCGTTAAAAGAAATGTCTCCTCAATTTCTAAAAATAAAATGGCTTAATTCATAGGAAACATTTTTAGTATTTCCAGTAAATTTACTGGAACTTAAACAACCATGCAGAAATCAGATAAACTTTTTTTTTAAAGTAGCTTATGAAACATAGTTTGGAGGTCAGAATCTGGGGAAATGATTAAGACACCCTAAATCCAAGATCAGCTTCTTTCTTTTCTTGGAAGAAAATATCTTGAAACATATAAATTCGAAAGGTATTTAAACGTTTGTCGTTAATGGTATTTGTTTTCAGAAAGACATTTTTATTGTAAAATTTCTGAGACTCCACCAAGTTTTAACTCGGATCTGTAATAGGGGTTTGATTAGGGTTTCCGGCCTAATTATTAGTCACTAGGCTTCCCCTAAGATTAAAATCTAGAATGCACCTGTCTCAGTTGTAAGTTATCCATTAAGGAATTCCTACATCATTTCATTTCGTTGTATTATGAAACATTAGGTTTAAGTTACGGGTAAGATACTTACGGGTGGAGGGATCCAACCCAGAGACGGCTCTGAACAAAATGCAATTGAGCCCCAAATAACTAAATGAAATAATTTAGAAAGGTCCCAACCTTCTTTAGGGTAAGAGGCAAGTGCAACATTTGGCAATACAATTTCGTCACAAATTCAAGGGTAGTTCAAAGTGCCCCGTAGTCAAGGTCTGGCTTTTTCCGAATTTCGGGAACAAAAGAAGCGTTCGCAAGCAGAGACGGAGATTTAACTGCCCGCTTTCCCCTTGCCTCCCCCAAGTAAATCAAATCGAGGAAGATGAGCGTCCACATGAACGCCTCACTCCTTTTCTTTCCCTTCAAGGCTAGCTTTTGGAGAGGAAAGGCTGCGGCTATTCTTCGGTGAACCAGTGTCCCGAGATTGAGAAAGGCCCAGACCCGGGTCCTCGCAGCTGCCGTGAAATCCGACCCATTCGCCGGCGACCGACCCCGGAGAGAAAAGCCGCTTCGCCAGAAGGGCAGGGAGAGGAAACGGCGCACAAAAAGCAGTACGACTTGCCTCTTATCGCCATCCTAAGAGGAAGGATGGGGAAATGGGAAACAGAAACGAGCCGCGCGACGGAGCTCCCGC